GTAAATCTAGAAAGTAGACAAGTGGTTCCCTAGGAATGGGGATTGAGGGTATGGGGAGAGAGGAGAAGGAATGATTTCTAATGGGTACAGGGTTTCTTTTAAGAGTGCTAAAAATGTTCTGGAATTAGACAGTGGTGACAGTTGCACAATTTTATGTATATAATCAAAATCAATGACTGCGCAATTTATTTTTTTCTTTACTGATTTTGGAGAGGGTGGGGGAGAGACAGAAACATCAATGTTCTCATCAATGTTTCTATCTGTCTCTCCCTCTCCCTCTCTAAAATCAATAAAAAAATAATTTAAAAAAAGGGTAAATTTTATGTTATGTGAATTATACCTCAATGAAACAGAGAAATAGAGAAAAGGAATGAGGAACAGAAGATAGATGGAAGGGCGGAGGCAAGGCAAAGAGAGCCATGCTGTAACCAAGTTATGGGGTAGATGAAGAGTAGAGGCAGCAGCACATGTGGAGAGCAGGGTGTGCTTCCTGAAGCAGAGAGAGTTTCCAGGTCTTTCAGCTGCAGAGTTCCTGATGACATAATAGCCCAGTCGACATATGTCCTTACAAGAGAAGCTTTAATACATCACATCTGTTTAAAGGACATCTGCAAAACCTTTCATTACTTTTTTCCCCCACTCTCCTTTCTCATAACCTGTTGACCTCCATTTGTTCATTTACAAACAAAAATATTTCAGACACTTATCAATCTCTCCGCCTCCAAGCAGGCATAAATACTTGTTGCATCCCAATCTCCAGCCACCACCCACCCATACTGGGTCCCTCTGGCTCACGTACTGTGCTGTGGAAAACTGGCACAGAAGAACATCAGCATAAAAAGGACCCTGCAACACTGGCCTGAGTTACTCACCAGCTGCTTCTCCAGTGAGAACAAGACAGAATGTGTCTATGCTGGAAGGAAGTAATTTTCATTTGGATAAAGGGAGCTCTTCCTATGTTAGTTGGGGTATTAGGTACTAGAAAAAACTATCAATAAAGGATTTTAAGTCACCACTCAACAACAGAACAGCTAGCAATCTGCTTGTAAAGGTTTTCAACCTTCTTCCCTGAGGTATGGAGACGATGTCTGGAGTGCCTAGCTCTGTAATCACCTCTAATTATTAAAAATACTTACAGGACTTACCATCCATTCAATGTATTTCCCAAGCTACTACAATGTGCCAGATACTACATGCTATAAGGGTCTATTAAAGTGGATGGAGTAATTTCTGCTCTCAAGGCAGTGGCACTGAACAAGTGGAAGGACGTCACTATTAACATCCAACAAATGCTTTAACAGATGAGTAAAAGGTCTGTGGGGGGAAAAAGTGGCTAATAGTTTTATTTGGAGGAAGGGGGAGGTATGTGCAGGAATTTAAGTCGAATGGACTAAGCAGCTGGGAAAAGTGCTATATAGCATGGAAGTGTAAGGAAATGGTAAGGACTCAGAAAGGAGAGAAGAGAAGACTGATACAACATTAGAAAGGTAGAAAAAGGACTTGAAAAAGTTAGGGGAAAGTATCAAATAAGTTAAAATGTTAGGGAAAAAATATGTATATTAGAAATCAATGAGAATAAAGAGATAGGTTGGAGAGAACCAGTCAGGGATATTTCATATTATATTGTAAGAACTGAATTTTATTCCAAGATTTTTTAAACAAAGCTCACATTTGTCTTTTTAAACACATCTGGCAATAAGCTAAAAGATGAAATAAAGTGAGGAAATATAGAGATCAGGGGGTTCTTGATAAAACTAGCTCCTAAGATTAGGAACCAGTCCTAGGCAACGCTGAGACATTTGGGGGGCAGAATCCACTAGAACTTGGAGATCACTCCATCAAGGAGATGAGAAAAAAGAAGTTGTTATTGATCACTCTTGGATTCTAATGCAGACAAGGGGTTATTTTGCGTGGGGAGGCCTTCAGATGGAGATATTCAATGAACAGTTTTTAAAACAAAGCCAGAGAGCTCAGGGGACACTTACGGAATACACAGAGAGATCTGAGAACCAGACAAGCACATTAGTACCCTGTCAAGCAATGGGGGAGCTAAGAAAAAAGACGTAAAATAAAATCTTGGAGAAGATCCATGTCTGCGGTGCAAGTAAAGTAAGAAGAACCAGTGGAAGCTGAAGAGTGGTCAAAGCAGGATCAAGGACATTATTACAAGTGAGAACAGTTCCTCCAAAAACTCTGTTGTAAAGAAATTTTGAAATAAGATTCGTTGCTAGGTCACATTCCCAGGCAACATCACTTCAGAGAGAAGACCACAGAGGTCAAGATTCCTGCTAAAGCAGTATGAGTGTAAAGGGCTTAGAATCTAATAAAGAGGTGGCTATCATACACCATTCTCAAGAACTTTTTTCTTCCCAACTCTGTGGTGTGTGTTTTGGTATATGTGCCTACTTGGGCCCGAGGACTTGCAATAATGAGAAGTGATGTATAAGTCTGCTCGATGCCAACTGAGGCCTGGTCTAGGGGGCAAAAATAAAGAGTATATCATTAAACTTGCATTTTAGACCCGAGGTTGACACTAGCTCTCCTCAAGCAGGTCAGTTTTAGCCCCTCACTCACCTGGGTTTCTCATGTGTAAAACGGGGGCAATAGCCTCTGCCCAATTAACCTCAGAAAGTTTTTGTGAAGATAGAAGACTAAATAAAACAGATACAGATGCACTTGGGAAAAAATGATGTAACAGTCTACTCCCTGATTATCTCTATTCAGAAGGGCCTATATTCAATTCATTAGTTCTCAAACTCTAGTGTACATGAAAACCACATGGGATATTGTTAAAAATACATTCTTAGGCCCTATTCCAGCTAAGAATATCTGGGCATGGGGTCTAGGAATCTGCAATTTTATGTTCCAGATAACTTTCTTTCTTTCTTTATTAATTAATTTTTGTTACAGATGTTTCTCCAGGTAACTTTCATACAGTGTTCCACAGTCTAGACTTCATGGGATGCTGAATCAGTCCAACCTCTTAAAGATGAGAAAACAGACTGAGGAAAAACGCTGTATTCAAGGGCTGAACACCAGGTAATGGCAAAGCAGAGAGAAAGTGTTAAAATGAAAGATAATTTGAGCCACAAATTCCTATTTCTAGGGATAATGTATGTGATACATGGGAATATTCTTATTATATAGTTAAGTCTTTATGATGGCATTCATTTTTATTTGAACTGATTATCTACTGCTAAACTCTCACAAAAAGGCATTTAAATTATTATTTTGGAGACTACAGGGAAGGCATAGGATCTATTTTAAACAAGCAAGTCAGTTAACTTTGAGGACCCCCAAATTTTTCCATGAAGAGCTGTTCTGAATATATTATCCACATCTGTTATACCCAATCCTAGGGTAGCCTGATTTGCAAGTGGAGGCCTAAACTCAAAGATTTGCAACTATCACCTGTTATCTAGGAGATAGGTTATTCAAAGACAAGAATATTAAATGATAGACTAAGACTCATTTACATGAGGTTCCAAGATACTTTGAAGCCTCGTTAAAATAACTGAAATCAGGAGTTAGAAATGTGTTCTCTACAAAGACCAGAATTTAGGTTCCCTGTAGCTATAACTCGGGGCCAGGTTAGCGTACAATGGCAGTGTCACTTTTTGAACAGTGCTACAAACAAATGAGGCTTCTCATGCCCATGTTCAAAAGTTATTTGGGTAAATTGTCAATCAAGATTGATCTAACTGCCCGTCCAGTGTGGCTCAGTGATTGAATGTCAACCCATTCACCCAGAGGTCACCAGTTTGATTCTCATTCAGGGCACATGCCCAGGTTGTAGGGCATGCAGGAGGTGGCCAATCGATGCTCTCTGTCAATGTTTCTACCTCTCTCTCCCCCTCTCCCTTCCTCTCTCTCTAAAAATAAAGGAAGGGAAAAAAAGAAAGACTGATCTAATTGCCAATGGGGGGGGAGCGCGATCTGATACCTCCCAAATCATGTATGTGTTGCATTTTCAATTAGATTGGTGGTGGTTGGTGGGGGTGGGGTGGGGTGGGGTGGGGGACTCAAAATCCAGAATTATAGTTTACATGTCAATATAGCCTCTAGCATACACTGCTAATTATACCCTCCCTCTGTAATAAGTCTACCAGTCTCCTCTGTGGTGACTCTAAAACTCAGATAATTAAATAAAACTTCCCCGCCCTGGCTGGTTTGGCTCAGCAGTTAGAGCGTCGGCCTGCAGACCAAGGGGTCACAGGTTCGATTCCAGCCAAGGGTACGTACCTTGGTTGTGGTTCATCCCCAGCCCAGGTTAGGGTCGTGCGGGAGGCAACCAATTGATGTGTCTCTCTCACATCAATGTTTCTCTCTCTCTCTCTCTTCTTCCCTCCCACTCTGAAGATAGATGGAAAAATACCCTCAGGTGAGGATAAAAAATAACTTCCCAGCCCAGCCAGTATGGCTCAGTGGACTGAGCATCATCCCATGGACTGAGAGGTCCCATGAATTGAGAGGTCCCAGTTTGATTCCCGGTCAGGGCACATGCCCAGGCTGTGGGCTCAATCCCCAGTTGGGGGCATGCAGGAAGCAAACAATTGATGTCTCTCTCTAAAAGTAAATCAACGAAAATACATTTAAAAAAAAATAACAACTTCCAAAAGGATTATTTGAAATCACATACCCAACCTAAAGCAATAAAACTACAGTTAAAACTAAACAAAACAAAACAAAAACCCGTTTGGGAAAACACTACAGCTTGGAGGGACAGGAGCCAGCACACTTGAGGTGATGTTGCTGGTCATGTACCAAATGTACCCTCTTATGCACGGAACTTCGTTATAGCCTGAGGAAATCAGCAGTAATGAGACAGAACTAGACTCTAATAGAAAATAAGAACAGTGTGGACTTTGGCTTCCTCACCCAATTCTTCTTTTAAAAAAAGGGACCAGATTCATTAAATAACAAAAGCAAAACAAAAATAAAAACAAAGACAACCCAGTTCCTCTGCTTATGATAAAACATTATACAACAAAAATACTTACACGGGACTGGAATTCAAAGAGCAATGATCCACCATCATTTCTGGAAGGAAATCCAACTTAAACGCAGCCATCACCTCACTCTCCCCTTCAGAAGCCAATGATATTAACTTGCTGCACTTGTCTGATCCACAAATACACACAGCTTTAGCTTCCTGGGCCCCACAAAAAACACAAAGTGGAAAGAGGAGCTCAGGGAAACCAGCAATAAGTGCCACAGAAACAGGCAGGACTGGGGAAGGGAAAGGGAGCATTGGATTAAAAGGGGGATGCGACCATGTGAAGGGAAGCTCAGCCCAGCACACAATGAAAGTGCTGATGCACCAGGCTTGTTTTGTGTGATTTTCCCTGGCAAAGCAGTACTAAGTGCACTGTCAGATAAATAGAGTGTCAAATCCATGAAGATAGCAGTGGCTAACAGAGCAGAAGACACACCAACTTATTTCACATCTTCCAAACTCCTCTCCCTGCAAATCAGTTTTTTAGGATCCTTAGAACCTAAAACTACTTGGAAGAAAACAAAACAAAGAAACTCACCTTACGTGATCTGAAAATGTTTTTGGAAAGAATCAGGTTGTTAGCCTTGTTCTGAACTTAGTTTCCATGTGCCAAAGACAGCAGCGAGCACATTGCCTGGGTCCAAACTAACTGCAGAACAGTCCCATAAGGAGGACCACTGGCTCAGACCATCAGAAGCAGGCCAGAGGAAAGTTGGTTGAAGAATTGGACACCAGAAACTTAGTGCTCACACACTACTACCTGCACTGTACTTGACTGTGCTTTCTTGGTGGTGTTGAAAGCCAAGTCCTTCACATGGCAGAGAGTGAAGGACTTTAAAAATTGCTGCTTCAGTGACATTAGGTGGCACAAGGCCAACTTCTTTACTAACTCTGAATCTTAATTTGCCAGAAAATTTAAAAGGTAAAAATGAAAATAAAATTGTAATATTCTGCTCTTGACAGAGTACTAGAAAATAATGTCTTTTCGGTTGTTTGACCTTTCTAACAATGAAAAAGAACTGGGGCCTTCTAGGGACAAACACTTAAACATGTATGGAAGGACAGAGAAATGTAGACTAAACCTCTTAATTCTCTGTCCTCTAACTTGCTAAAACCAGGGTTAATGAATGCATACATAAAAATTCTATTGTGGGTGACAGCAGAGATGGATATACTTAGCAGTCAAGGCAGATGTGATGCTCCCGTTCTCAATTTAGCTCCACATCCCTCCAAACAACAAATGGTGGCATTTCATTATTTAGGCAATGAATCTAAAACTGTATCTCTGAAGGTTCCCAAATTTCTTTCTATTTTTATCATTAGGGTTGCCTTACCTCAAAGATTTCACTTCACTAAAGCTAACAACAGAGGAAACTTTGAAAAAAGAAGTTATGTTTAGCTTGTAAAGAGGTAAACAAATGCACTCCTAAACGTGTGGAGTTACTTTAAAAAAAAAAAAACAAAAAAACGGGAAGGGAGTATGTCATGGTATAGGCCTAAATGTTCTGGTCTGTGTAACAATGGCTGCAACCTGTCCTACATTTGACTGAGGAACATAGAAACTGTGTCTTCTGTCCAATATCCAGATATAACAATCCAAAACTGAAAACTATAGTAGCAGTTAACTACTTTTCTATTTGTCAGAGACCCTGGCTCATTTGATCTACTGCTTTAGAGGCAGAAGTGGCAGGAGCTCTCTTCCATCCTATTAAAGGAGAAAGCAAAAACAAGTTGCAAATGAGAGGAGACTGTGCAACTGGCACACAATACACAGGTCACCAAGCCCTGACTGCCAGGCAAGTAGAGGATGGGAACCTAACCTGGGACTGGTTAAGTTACTCATTAGGTTTGTCCTAGTTTCTCCTGTGTACACTGGAGCTGACCCCATGCCTCCTCCTATAGAAAGCTACCCGACCAATGAGTCAATTTGTGAGGTCGGTTAACCAAATTAGATTTTTTAGTTCAAAGATTCCTTTAGAAAGGAATTAGCTAATTTTAAAGAATCCCAATGGTTACTGTTATGCTTTTATTATTCAGTAAAAATACATGGCTTTGAATTACATCTCTATTTCAATCAGAATCACATCCATAATCACATTTAATAGAGTACTTAAATGTGGGGGACTTCACTGAGTAGCCTGACACTGCTCAGTGTATCAGTAATTTTTATCAAGCCAAATGTTGGGAAACACTGATTCAGAGTAATGTTTTAAAACCCACTTTACAATATATAAAGCAACACTGCTTGTAAAACCTACAAGATAAAAATATTGTGCGAAGGAAAATGCTTCTTTTTAGGAAGGTCACAAGAGTTATCTCAGTATAATTAAATTCAATATACTTGTGGGGGAGAGCACAGAAATGAATTACAAGTCACCTGATTTTAGAAAATGGTTACAAAGTTAATTGATGATAAAAAACAATTATGGGAATACAAAATGCAGGTTTTAAAATTACAAAGTACAATTAAAAGTTACTCACAAAAATTGCCCATAAGTTGTTTTTAATTTCTGAATCAGAAACATATTCCAGGCTTTTGCCACAAAGGATGCATTAGAAATAAAGAACTGGCAGAAGGGGTATAACCAAGTGTCCACTGTAGAAGAAGGCCTTAACTTTCTTTCAGTCCCTTTTTACCACCTGTCCTCTCATTATGAATTTACATTCATAGGTTCCTCTTCTTCTTTCTTTAGTTGTCTGACTGCCTCAGTTTTCTTTGTTTTGAATAGTCTCTAATTCTTTTCTAAGGGCAATGATTCAAAGCCTGATTATGTGAAGGCATAGGCAAGCAGTCTGCTGTAACATTGAGAACCCAAATTATTAAAAATCATGGGTGAAGCGGGGGGTGGGTCCAGGGAGGAGGGTGTTAATAGCGGGGGGGGGGGGGGGGGGAGGAGAGACACCTGTAATACTTTAACAATAAAAATAAATTTAAAAAGTAAATAAAGTAGCCCGGCCAGTGTGGCTCAGTGGATTGAGCATTACCCCATGGACTGGGAAGTCCTGGTTTGATTCTTGGTCAGGGCACATGCCTGGGTTGTGGGCTTGATCCCCAGTAGGGGACATGCAGGAGGCTGCCAATTGATGTTTCTCTCTCTAAAAAGTCAGTAAAATATATTTTTTAAAAAATTTTAATTACTAAAATATAAATGGTGGGCAGAGCCCTGGCCAGCGTGGCTCAGTTGGTTGAGCATTGTCCTAAGCACCGAGAGGTCACCAGTTCAATTTCCAGTCATGGCACAAGCCCATGTTTCAGGCTCCATCCCCAGTGGGTGATGTGCAGGAGGCAGCTGATTGATGTCTCTCACTCTTCCCCCCAAGCCCACTCCCCCCAAAAAACCAATAAAAGCATATTTAAAAAAAACAATAAAAATAACGGGTAGATAAGGGGAACCCTCAAAAGAATAACACACCCTGCATTTAAAATATCAGAATGGAATAAGCAGTTTAAAAACGGAAGTAGAAAAAATGCTAGAAATCACAGCCTTTGTTTTGTCAATAGTGAAAAGAGCAAAAAAAAAAAAAAAAGCTTAGCTGAAAAAACAACAAAAACAAACAAACAAAAAACCAGGTGGCACATGCAAATGTCAGGCTATCTTGATGTAACCAGAGAGTTCAGCAACAGGTGAAGAGATTTTATACTTTTACCCTGATGATCTAAATATGTTTTAAAGGACAAGATGTGAAGTCTAGTTAGATGAGTTAATAGGAAATTAGAGCCTACTACTGAATTATAAAAGGGAATTTACATCATTAAGAATCACTATCAGTCTATGTATAAGGAAAAGTATAAAAATCTAGGGAAACCATGCCTCAGGCAGTTAAGTGGACTGGATGTTTCCCTCCCCAGAGCTTCTAGCAGTTAGATGACATAAAGAATGTAGAAAAGAAGTAATTGATACAACTTGAAAACAACCAACCAGAATAACTTAATTTAGCTTAAAACCTTTATGGTCTTGAATTTCACTTCAAAACTTGACTACTTCTATTATAATTAGTGGATCTCCTAGAGCTCCCAATCCAATACCTTGCATATGCAAAAAAATAAGTTGGTAATGATCTCATTGGTATCTCACTTTGTGGGAGCTTTTTTGCATAAATGTGACAGTTAAGTATAATTTAAAACAAACCAGAAAACTTTGTGAGTTTCCAATAAGAATCTAGACAATGAAAACATTGTGTACTTGGTGAAAAGGGAGTTTTAAAGTAAAGAATAGCCCAGCCAGTGTGGCTCAGTGGTTGAGCGTCAACCCAGGCACCAGGAGGCCGCCGGTTTGATTCTCAGTCAGAGCACACGCCCAGGTTGTGGGCCTGATCCCCAGTGCAGGGCTTGCAGGAGGCGGCCAACTGATGTTCTCTCTCATCGATGTTTCTCTCTCTCTCTCATCGATGTTTCTCTCTCTCTCTCTCTCCCTTCCTCTCTCTCTAAAAATCAATGAAGAAAAAAGTCAAGAATAAAAAGAAATATTGTAAATTTTATTTCAAATCTAAAATCACTAAGACAAAAAAGCACTAAGTTTAGTGATTGTTGTATGCAAGTTGGTTTGCCTGTAAAATGACCATATATGGTGTACTGAAAGGACATGACAAGGTAAAAGGGAGGGATCTCACAACCTTTTTTGAAATTTAAAAGGTTTACCATTTCTTCCCCCATCCTTAATCACTACTGTCTCCTCCCCCAATCAGTGTCAAAAATAAGTACCAACAGAAAGACCTCTTTTCTCTGCTTAGTGCTGTCAGCAAAAGTATAAGCTCGGAGCCTCCTTTGAAGTATCTGGGACCAACCCTACCTAATAAATTGTCCTGTCAGATTGTGGCCAACCTTCAAATCAAGTCATATTTTCAGATACCAAACTAGTTCTGGAACATATATGTAATTCTTTATTTAAGCTCCAGTGCTGATTAAATAATCAGTATGTTGAACAAATTCTGATTCTAGGAGGATAACATTATCTGTGTGAAATCCATTAAAGTTCTTCCCTCATCCTTGTTCTAGTTTACTTGGGGTCTTCCAGTTATGAAGTGGAATGGGAAAAAAAGTTAGCTGGGTAGTTGATGTGTGGAGTACTGCTACTAATTCTCTCTCTCCCTCCTTCCCTCCCCATCTTTCCCAAAGCTATTAGAACTAGTCAACAGCTAATTAAATTGGGAGATAAGCCTGCCTTGGAAAATTTTAGCTAAAGAGAGAGAGTTGGGAAAGGGCTAGATAATATTTCTAGCTCCCGAGGGAACAGGAAATTATATCCCACAATGTAGAAAAAAAAAACTATCACCTTTCTGAAGGCAATTTTTTTCACATCTGCACAACAGGCCTCATGCAAGAATGTTAAAAAGATGCCCACAGAGCACACCCATCCAGCAGTTAGCCCATACCTGTAGCTTTACACCTCCCTCTCTGGACTATGTCTTCACTCTAAAAAACCAAGGAAAGAAAAATAAGTGGGCCATGACTATACTTCTCATAATTCCAGATATGTATCTTTCTTTTCAAAGAAAAGCCCCCTTGGAACATCATCTCATGCACCAAAAGGTCACGGGTTCAATTCCAGATCAGGGCTGGGCACATGCTCAGGTTCTGGGTTTGATCCCCAGTTGGGGGGCATGCCGGAGGCAACCAATAGATGTTGCACTCTCACATCGATGTCTGTCTCTCTCTCTCTGCCTCCCCCCACCTCTAAAATCAATTTTAAAAAGCATGCCCTCAGGTGAGGATTGAAAAAAAAAAAGAGCCCCCCTCCTCCCATTTTTATAGTACACAATACCTTATAGATAAGTTACATTTAACATCTTAAAGCTAATTTGAAATCACCATCAACTTAAAAGATGGGGATTAAAGCACCAAAATGCTTAAAAGGAGTTTGCCCCAAAATGTCGCAACAAATTGTAAAACAACTGATTAGAATTTATGAAGTTAAATTTCAATACATCTAAGTTACCAAAACAATCATTTTTAGCATCTGTTTTTGGATGGGAAACTACAATAAAGCTAAAGGCTGCATAATTCTTTTCGCAGTTAAGGATTGTGTTATTAATGTGGAGAGGCCACATTATTTCCCCAAAGCAACCTTCCTGAATAGGTGCCAGGCATAAAATTCTTCAAAGGCAACCACGTCCCTGTCTGTGTAAATGCATTTCGCTAGCCTTGTAAATGCAGGGTGGTGGTGAACCACTGAAACCAAAAAAATCAGAAGATAAGGAAGTTAATTGAAGGTAAAAGCAAACAGAGAAACCACAAAACCAATTTGTTTTATTTTAAACATTATCAAACAATCTTGCAAGTAAAGACTGATTCTATAAAGCTGCCCAAATCCCTACAACCCCCCCCCCCCCCCGCAGCTATATACAGAGAACTGCTCAAAGTCACCAAGGACAAGGTCTACATTGGAAAGTTTAAGAACCCTGAAAACCAAAGCCAGAACCAGAACTGTGAGACCACTACACTCTATCTACCCTCCCTGAAGACAAAGATGTTACCTGACAAACATAAAAATCAGTACTTAAGTACTTAATGTGACTTTTCATATGAATCTAACTGGTTTTCAGTTTTGCTGAAGTAATGATGTTTGCAATCACTTTAAAGCAAAACAGAAAAACTTCTAAATGCATTTACTTGGACCTGCCCACATCACCAAAAGTTATTAAGGGAGCCCGGGCCAGTTTGGTTTAGTGGTTAGAGCATTGGCCCGCGGACCAATGAGTCCCAGGTTCGATTCTACTCAAGGGTACGTACCTCAGTTGCAGTTCATCCCGGCCCTGGTCAGGGTCATGCAAGAGGCAACCAGTTGGTGTGTCTCTCACATCAATGTTTCTCTCTCTCCCTCCCTCCCTCCCATTCTATCTGAAGATAGATAGAAAAATATCCTCAGGTGAGGATTTTTTTTAAAAAGTTATTAAGGGAGCCCTGGCCGGTTTGGCTCAGCAGTTGGAGCGTCAGCCTGCGGTACAGAGAGACCTGGGTTCAGTTCCCGCTAAGGGCACATACCTCGGTTGCAGTTTGTCCCCGGCCCTGGTTGGTCGTGCGGGTGGCGACCACTCGATGTGTCCCTTCACATCGATGTTTCTCTCTCTCTCTCCCTCTCTCTCCCTCCCGCTCTGTCTGAACAAAGAATGCAAGAATGTCCTCGGGTGGGGATAAAAAAAAAATTAAAAAGTTATTAAGGGAAATAAATTTACATTTATTAAATTCAAATACCCCATTTAATCTTGTAATATTACCACCATTAACAGTGGGGACTACTCTAAGAATTTAGATGCTTATATATTTTGCATGAAGGATTCTAACCCCAGAGCCCCTGGTCTGCCTTGAGGAATGTGACCATCATCTAGGAGGTACAAATTTTTACTGAGTAGTTACCTCGAAGGGTAGAGAGCAAGTTAAATTTCTACTTGTTAGTTTTATTCTGGAAAGCATAAAGGCAAAGAAAAGACCAAGGAGTGCCCTAGCCAATGTGGCTCAATTGGTTGAGCATCATCCCATACACCAAGAGGTGGCCGGATCAATTCCTGGTCAGGGCACATGCCTGGGTGTGCAGGAGGCAGCTGAATGATATTTTTTTCTCTCTCTCCCTTTCGCTCTAAAAAATAAATCAATAAAATCAATAAATAAAAGCTCTGTTTTCCCACTTTTGCTTTTCCTACATTCTGTTAAAAATGCTTTGGAGAGAGAGAAAAGCTAAATGGAAATTCAAAGCTTGAAGTCAGAGTTTTTTACATCTTTCCTTTCTGTGAGGAACCAAACAAAATGCATTAAGTTCTGTCAGGAAGCCTGCAGCTCTTTGGAGCTCTACAGAAGTCTATTTGTATTAACATTACCTCTACCCTTCTCAATCACCAGGCAGGGAGACACAAAGATGGTGAAAGAGTTAAGGAGGGGATGAAGGGTAAGGGGGAGGTAACAGAGAGAAGGATGAAGGGCAAGCCAGCTCTGAGGAACATAAAGTGTTATCTGCTTGTGATATGTTAAGATGTTCAAAATATGGCCACCATTGACGTTTTAAAATTGTATCTGGCAAGTCAATGGCACAGGAGACTCTAAAAGGCAAACTACGTATCTCATGATTTCCCCAAGGAAAGATAACCTGGAAAGAATTTATGTAGTTTTAAAATATATCTTGGAACTAATACCTGATCTTGATTATATTTGAAGGATGTAAGAGTGAATGAACAGCATTGCCTCTCAGGATTGACACAAAAGCTCTCAGGTATCCTACATGGCTTCCTCAGTGTGGGCAAGGCAATGAACTTTTTTGTTTCTCAGTTTTCTGCTGGCCTATGGAGCCTGTACGTCAAGTAAATGACAAAAAACACTATCCCCTTCCCAGGAAGATGGCCACGAACTCACACCACCAGCAGTTTTCACACAGTATGCACGGAATCACAAACTCCAGATACAAGGGATGGTAGCAGGTACAGTAATGCTCAATGACCTACTTAAAGCCTGAACCCCACGGCTTTGGCCTCATTAGCAAAACTCACTCTTTTTTTAATTGAGGTAACACTAGTTAACAACTTTATCTGTACTGTATACTCTATTGCATGCTCATCACAAAAAAGTCTGGTTTCCAATCCATTAGCATATGTTTATTTGATCCCTCCTACTTCATCCATTTTGCCCTCCCCCACCCCACTTCTTTCCCTCTGGTAACCACCATTCTGTTAAGACTCACTAACTCTTACTAACAAATATAAGTGTTCTCAATACCCTGAAAAACTCTGACATAAAGCAGAGAGTTAATGAAATGAACAACTATCCAAGTTAGAGGTTTCAAAATATTTTTAAAAGCAGAAGTGTTTTTTCCCTAAACATAAAAGTAAAGTTGTTCAGGTTGAAGATAGAGAAGGGCAAGGCTTGTGTACCTCTCCTGGCCCTCAAGTCTAATCCTAACCCTAAATCTCTTGGGAAACATGAAAACAAGCCTGGATAGTTCAAAACAATAAATAATTCACCAATTTTATATTCAGCTTTGAGATAAATGGTTTTTTGAACAGGTTTTTCTATCTTCAGAATCTAATAGATTACTACAAATCAAGGAAATTAAGATGCCATTGATATAATAAATGTGTACATTCTCAAATTAATGAAATATGGTACTTAAAATGTGTAAATCTTATCACCTGAAAGTAGAGAGAAATGTCTAGACATTTACAAAGTAGTAATAATTATATGAGCTAACATTTTTTTGAGCATTTAATGTATGACATGCAGTGTCTTGAGTGCTTTTTATATACATATATATATAATTTTCCTTTATTGATTTTTAGAGAGACAGGAAGTAACAGGGAGAGACAGAAACATCGATGAGAGAGAACACTGATTGGCTGCCTCCTGCATGCCCCCCACTGGGAATCAGGCCCACAACTTCAGCATGTGTCCTGACTGGGAATTGAACCGGTGACCTCTTGGTGCATAGGTCGATGCTCAACCACTGAGCCACACCAGGTGGATTTAGGTGCTTTATATTTAATCCTCATACCTATCCTAACCTTATTACAGATGAGAAAAGACACAAAGAAATTAACTAAATCTCAAGATCCCTGAATCCAGGCAATGTTGAGGTTGAAATATAAAGCCAGACACTTCAGCCCCGTCCGGGTGGTTTAGTTGGTTAAAGCATCATCCTGTAAACCAAAAGGTTGGGGGTTTGATAACCAGTCAGAGAGCATACAGGAGATAACTGATACATGTTTCTCTCTCTCTCTCTACTCCCCAATCTCCTTCCTGTCTCTCTAAAGTCAATAAATATGTTCTTGGATGAGGATTAAAAAAAAAAAGTTTAAAGCCGGACACTTCAACCCTTGGATGAAAGGAGAACTCAGATTAAAAACTGTGTGTAGCCCAGCAGGTGTGGCTCAGCAGATTGAGCACCATCCCATGGACTGAGAAGTGCCCATTTGATTCCCGGTCAGGGCACATGCCTGGGTTTCAGGCTCAATCCCCAGTGGGGTGTGTGCAGGAGGTGGCTGATTGATGTTTCTCTCTCACATCAATGTTTCTCTCTCCTCCTTTCTCTCTAAAAAAATCAATTTTTAAAAATTGTGTATAAGAAGATCATGTACACAACAAACCACAGAAAAGATTGTGTAAATGCTAAGGGCCATAAAGTTGAGTCTGACCATTTTTCTAAAGCAAATTTTCTAAGTATAGTCGACCCTCGCCACGTCACACTTCAACTCTTGCGGCTTCACTCTGTTGCGGTATTAGACAAATGTCCAAAATCTCAACAGTCACATGAAAGATACAATTAAGAGTATCTTTAAGTGAAAACTTCATGCTGTTACTCAGTAAATGTGTGACTCTGAGCAAGTTAATTAACATCTCTAAGTATCAGTTTCCTCATCTATAAAAGACTTAACTACATATCTCAATAGGAACCAAATGGATGACCAGAATTCAATCAAGCCACTGTACAAATT